TTAGCTAAGAATGGTTCCGGGCTGTATGGGGTGCGCTTGGATGAGGACCATTTGGTTTTCTTCTTGAACCTTATATGGGCGAATTGTGATTCGATTGACGAGATGAATGGAAAAGACGGCTTCTCTAATTTACAAGCTGCGAGGGAAGTTTTTGAATTTTGGAAGACTGTAAAGGATAAGCTTGCATTGCCCCTCTTAATAGATTTATGTGAGAGGGCTGGTTTGGCTCCTCCACCGTGCTTTATGCGCCTCCCAACCGATCTGAAACTTAAGATTTTGGAGTCTCTTCATGGTGTTGATGTTGCTAATGTGGGATCTGTTTGTTCTGAGTTGCGCTATTTGTCATCTAATGATGATTTATGGAGGCGTAAGTTTGTGGAGCAGTTTGGCAACGTGGAGGGATCTCAGGGAGGGAGCCACTGGAAAGAGAAGTTTGCAAAGTCTTGGGAGACTAGAAAGAGGAGGAAGAAAGCTATGCGGGAGAGGCCCCGTGTGAGGAGAGCCATGGCCATTTCGAGTTGGGGTACCAAGAATCATCAGAGACGCTCATCCTCTTAGGATTCCAAGAATCATAGATGGAGATCATGACATAGGGCCAGATTTCCCATTTGGGCTGTCTCTTCGAACAAATGCGCGTCGGAATGTTATGCCTCACTGTAGTCTGTTTGGACGTCACACCTAGTCAGCAACTTTAGTTTCTCGTTCGCTATCCTCGTCTTGTTGGAGGTAGTTTTTATGGGTATAATAAGCTTATGCATTTATCTGTGAGTGCTTTGGTAGATCTCCTAGAAGTTTGTAAATAAAAGTATTTATCAGTAACTTGGTAATGTTTATGGCCCCGCTTGTTTTGGGAGATAGAATGGAGGGGATTGATAGTGAGGGGATTGTTAGTGAGGAGATTGATAATAAGAGGATTAATAGTGAGGAATTGTTAAATTATTTTTATATAAAATAATAAAACAAATAAAAAAATATAAAAAAATAAACATTATATTTAAAAAAAAATTCTCAATATATAAAAAATAAAAATAAATAAAAAAATTTCTAATCCTCCTCCTTACCAATCCCCCTTTCCTCCTCCTTACTAATATCAAGGGATTACTAATCCCCTCCCTATTTCTCAAAACAAACACTCTATTCTCAATCCCCTCCTTACTATCAAACCCAATCCCCTCCCCATAACCCCTATATGAATACTGTTTGTCATGCCTCTTTGACAGGCTTAAGTTTTGGTTTTGTTGTGTTGCTATATCGTCTATGCAATAATTTGATTGAAAATGGATGTGGTGTGATGATCTGATACATAATTCTTTTGTAATTGTAGTACACTAATGGGTGACACACGCAATGCGCGTGCAATTCAAATAAGTAAGAATAAAAACAAATAATAAAGAAATTAGTATCATAATATAAATATTATCAATGTGGTAAGAGTGTTTTTAATGAAACTCAAGATTTTGGATTCAAACCTTCTCCTCCTCTGTCTAAAACTTTTTTATTTTAGGCTAGAAAAAACTGTCACGTGGCATGACATGTGGGCTTGGACACCAAGTTTAGTCTTCACTTAATAATAGTATAGACATAGATAGATAATTCTTTTGTAATTGTAGTACACTAGTGGGTGACACACGCGATGTGTGTGCAATTTAAATAAGTAAGAATAAAAACAAATAATAAAGAAATCAGTATCATAATATGAATGTTATCAAAGTAGTAAGTGTTTTTAATGAAACTCAAGATTTTGGGTTCAAACCTTCTCCTCCTCTGTCTAAAGCTTTTTTATTTTAGGCTAGAAAAAACTGTCACGTGGCATGACATGTGGGGTTGGACACCAAGTTTAGTCTTCACTTAATAATAGTATAGATATAGATGGTTTTATGGATTCATTAATGGTTTGAACAATTTCATTACATTAGTAAGTAGTTGACAGTGGGGATTGCCTATGAACAGTTACTAATATATAGTATTTGAATTTTGAATGTTGATTTGACTTTGGAATTCTGTGGGGGGCTGCTTTCAAGTTTATGACCAGTAAGTTTCACTGGGGATACATGGTTCTGCAAGACAGAGCTGACCTCACAATTTGGTAGTCACTGGCATTTCTGAGACTCAAGACGACTGCCTTAATATTACATAAAAACCAAATATGGTTTTAAATACTGTGATACATTTGTAAGGCTATGTAATTGTGTTGTATGTCAAGTTTCAGAATTATGATCTATGTTTTAGACCTTTTTAGTTTCATACAATTATCAAACCACTTTGAAACTGACTTTGCAAAGCTGGCCTCAGGGAAAAGTCATTGGTATGGCCTCTTTCATTACCTGAGGTATCAACTACTGGTTAAACCATTTCCTGAAGAAGGATAACATGAATTGAACTAGGTTCAAATGGATCCCCCTGACATCTTTTGAGGAGATTCAGTGTTATATATATATATGCTATAAATTCTGTGGACAAAATGGTTATTCTCTTTAAAACTCTCTCTTAAAGTGATAGCTACCTAGGATGACATATCATGAAGTGATCACGATGCATCTGTGTAAATTTGAAACTTGATGCAACTCTTAACGATGTTTGTCACAATCTTTTTGTTTCACCCGTTTAATATTATTATTATTTTGAATGCTTTACAGTATACAGGTAAAAGTGGTCAGGTTGAACTCCTTGTTTTAAAAAAGCTTGCTAGAAATATCCTAGGCTAAGAGATTGGGGTCGGTATATGTGAATGCCCTGATTCTGGTATGGTAGTGTGGTTAAAAATTTATGAAGTTTGAAACAGGATCATTTATAATATATGTTTTGATTATTGATCAATTGCTTAGAACATCCTCATCAAGCTCTTCAAAATCATTTTTTAGCTAAAAATTTCAAAAAATGAACTCTATCAAACTCGCTTGCAGCGCGTCAAAATTTACAATCGCTACAGTAACTCGTTACAACAAGCGAGGCATTGTTCATCGCTATTTGTGTGTTACCAGATGTCTGCCCGGAAGTCCAATCGGTCAATGTCAATTTTTTATTTTTTTTATTTTTTTTTAAGAATTATTTGGCTGATAACTTATCAATTTAATAGAGAAAGAAAGACTAACAAACAATAAGAAAATAATGTTTAATTAGAATAAAGAGATTGATACAGTAGATACCAAAAGATGACTAGTTAAAATAATAAAATAGTTTTAATTTGACTAAAAATTTGAAGAGTTTGGTGTGAATGCTCATGCCTTTTCTTTTCCTTCCAATGAGTAGAAATTCCTTCGTTTGGACAAATGTGGATTTGAAGTCAAAGGGATTTGACGTTGGATTTTATAAAATATTAGAGGTATAGAAAAACTAAAAAGAAGCAATTTAGGCCAAATTTGACAAGTTGAAAAAAAAATTAAAAAGTTAAAAAAGTTAAAAAGTTATTCAAAAAGTTAAAAAATTATCACTATTCACCAAAAATTAAAAAGTACGGCTGCACAACTCTCAATCTTAATTTTTTTCTACACACTAATTTATACAATTTTTTAGTATATATTTTTTCATAAAAAGTCAAAAAGTTAACTCAAACAACAATATTTTTTCCTCAATTTTTTAGTTCAAAAAATCAAAAAGTGCACATCCCAAACAATCCCTTAATAGCATTTTGTACCTAGTAGGAATATCTTCATCATGATATCAAATGATTATTTTTGCATAAGTATTTTAAGTATATCATAATAAAGCTCTTTAATTTAAACTTCAAATAGTTAGCTAAACTATTAGATCTAAATTTGAGTTATTCTTCTTACTTTCTTCTTTAATGAATAATGCCAAATCTATGTATTTCAAATTCATAGATACAAAAATGTCTTAAGCTCAACCTTATAACATTGGGACAGCATGTCATTGGTGATCAATCGTTTGTTTATTTGATCTTCTTCTTAGACTTCTTCTTCCCCTAGAAAACATTTCTGAAAATTTTATTTTATTTTGTTGGATGGAAAAATATTTTGGTGGCTTCAAATGTATCATACAAGATATGAAAGCTGATTAAGAGTGAAACATTGATTTCCAACTTGCTACATTCAATTTTCTTGAACACTATTTTTAGATCATAGATTTTTCAAGGGAAATAAAATGAAAGAAAAATAATACTATTATTTATACATGTTCATTTTTTATGGGTAACTAACAAAAATAGTTTTTTTTTTATAATCCAATCAAACAAATGAATTTTTTGTTTTTTCACTTTACTTTCTTCCTTAATTCACTTTCATTCTTGCTCTATAACGTGATCAGAAGATTCTCCCAAAATCTTTAAAAAAATGTTTAATTATATGAACATTTCCTCAATGATAAATCCAAAAAATTAAAATAACTATTTTTTTATATTAAAAAGTAAAGAAAAAAAACTGATTGCGCATTGTAAAAAAATTTAAGACACAAAATTACTCACATAACCATAGAAAGTATATATTTAAAATAATTTACAATTATATTTGGATCATAAATTTTTTTAATTCAAATTCATAATCTAAATAATGACGAATCCTACCTCAAATGTATAAATATAATCGTCTTTTATAATTAATTTTGTGTCCAATTATTGGTTTTTAAGTCAAGCTTTCTGTTTTTTTACCCGAACGACGACATTATTAAGGACTATTTTAAAAAGATAGTTATAATCAACTTTTTAATTAAAAGTTGCTTATAAATTATTTTTTTATGAGAGAGGAATTGTGTTATAATTCGAGAAGTGTATATAATCCATTTCCCAAATGGAGCCTAAAGTTGAAGAAAACAATTACCACGTGCGGGACTAGTAACAGCATCTTCAACACTTGTTTAGATATTTTCGTTAAAATTAAATTTGATTGAATATGTTTTTTTTTTTTTTTCCCTTCTAACCATGATATTAAATTCATGTCAAATAAAGATAAAATTAGATTTTTCATTAAATTAAAAGAATATTTAACTATTCATCAAATTTTTTTAAAAACAATTGATGGATAATCGGATGAACGATCTTCCCATCAATCAAGTGAAAGACCGGCAAAACAATCGAATAGATGACGGACTTGAAAATTTTTTACTAAAAATTTGTTTTAGGTCAAATGACCAATTGAACGGCTGATCAAATTAAATTTTCACTAAAATTTTTGGTGAAGAAAAATTTGAATACACGTGGGAGATGCTCTAATTAACCACTCTCGATTCACGTCTCCCTCCCTCTGCCTAAAATCACCCGTAAAACCGTGAGTCGCCGCCGGCAATTTCTCTCTCTCTCTCTCTCTCTCTGTAGCTTTCTAATTTAACAACAACAACAATAATGGCGTCGTCGGTCACTCTCTTTCCTCGCTCTATCTTTTACTCTTCCTCTTCCTTCCCAGAATCAATCTCTCTCTCTACCAGGCCGCATCGTAACATCCTCCTCCTCCAATTCCACCTTCATCGAACCTATCCCCGAATCCAAGCTTCCAGACGAATCTCCAATTTCCCTCAGGTTCTATTTATTCTCTCTATCTCTCTCTCTACATATATAGTTTAATTATATGTTGTGTTAAAATTGGTGTTGTATTCAGGAAGGTAGTGGCTTGGTAGATGACCCACGCAATTGGAATCGCAAACAAGGACTCGCAATGGAAGATTGACACCTTAAAATTTTGATAATTCAGGCATCATAATAAATACAACTTTGGTATTGAACATTCCATTACGAGCAACATTTTCAGATACATTAGAAATGATTATTCAAAATTTTCTTTTCGTTGTTTTGAAAGATTGACACCTTAAAATTTCTACTGTGGTTTAGTAACATGGAATTCTGTTCCCGGATGCTTTATGCCATACTAGATGCTTTCTACTAGATATAAGCCTCTGGTAGTCATTGACTAATGGTCTATTTTTTGCTTAATGTAGTTGGGGTTTTCTGTCAATGGATTGATATTGTTGACATTTTTGTGGGTTTTGAAGGCATTCCTTAAGGTAAATATAAATATTTGCATAAATATATAGTTGTCTATATTTAGATGCATGCCATGACCAGTTATGATTATCACTTTATACCATTTTTGATGTCATGTCTCAGTGGATAGCAAATGTTTTGCATTCTAGTTTGACTTTTGCCTCAGTTACAGGATTGGTTGAACCCTTGTGTTTGGCACACGTACTTAGTTTCTGTCGGACACGTATTTGATAGAAATTGTCCGTCTCAAGCGCATATGGCATACTGTACTAAACTTGAATAGTTTTGAATCTTTTCATTCTGGATCTATTGCTCCTTCCGTGTTTTGGGTGATTAAATTGGTTTGGAGCTGAAAACTTGCCCTAGCATACCAATGATCCACTTCTACATTTGGCTTTATTAATTTTCAATACCCATCTTGTACATCTTAAAAAGGATGGGATGTATTATTTTCAAAATCAATACAAAAAAGAAAAAAGGAAAACCATATGAGTTCAGTTTCTGCGACTAAGCTTGATTTCTATTGTTGACTGGATCTGGAGCACATACTTAGCATCTAGCTATGATATGATTTGAATATTGATTATTGAGATATTTGATTTTGGGATTGTGAATTCCCACTTTCAATTATGTTCTTCTTGGTGCTACATCAAAGGGTGCTTGTTTATACTAAATGACTATGTCTGATCATGCATATAGTTCCTTCATCCATGTAATTTAATTGCTATATTGCTTCTAGTGTAATGTAGGAAATACTCAGTCTTTATTAACTATAGTACACATGTATGCATACATGGTAGGTAATGCTAGTAGAAAACCATGGTGTTTTGGTCTTTGCTGGCAAAATTTATTTAATTGCACTAATCTTCTCAGGGTGGTTGTTCTGCCATTTAAAGTTAAGAAATGACACAACTCGACATTCTTCTCATATGTATTTGGCCTATGACCTGATTCAGAAAATATGTGCATTCAAGCTAGACTCTGGTTTTGAAGTGGCACAGAGCTCAATAGACTCCCATTTTCTAATCGTTGAATGAACTAATCAGAAAATGCTAATAGTATTGTATTGCACTTGATAAAGATGCTTAATGGTTAATATTTAAACATTGAATAAACTAATCAGTAATGATTAATGTTTTAGCCTGAGGCCACCAGGACTGGCCGAGCTAGTAGTCAAAATGTGACTGTAGATGCAGCTATTCTTTTTATCTTCTTGTGCAAGCTCTAGAAACACGCAAATGGTCCAGATTTCATGAGATGGATGATTCTTTTTGATATGTGGAAGCTAATGAAAATATGTCTATGTTTAGAACAAAAATGAAGATGAAAGTTCTATGAGATAGTTTCTGCATGCATTGTTTCATTATGTGAGTAATCCCATTCATCTTTCTTGATATGTTTTTATCAAGCATAGGTGGTTTGCACCCTCGGGAGTGTAGTGTTTGTAAGCATCTTGCTTATCCGTGGCATATGGTCTGGTGTGTCCTATTTACAAGACAGCCGCAAATATAGGGTGAGTGAATTTGATGATGAGCGCCAGGCATGGAATGGTGCGCAGCCCGCATCTTGATTTGTCCACTCTGATGATTCCAAACAAGAACAATCTTATGTTTGAAAAGGGTAACAGGGGAGTATGCATCAGATTTGGTTCTCATCTTATGAGAATGATTTTCCCTGTTTGAAGATTCAACACAAGCCATATGAGTACTCTGATATCTGTGGCATACATAATCAAAACCATAACGAGTGCTAATTATTCACTGGGGCAAAGCTACTATTCTCTTCTCTTTTACTCTTTTGCTTTCAGTGCACCAAAGATCGTTATCTAACATGGTACACATTGCTCGACTTGCACTCAACCGACAAAGAGCAGGGTCTCATTAGTAAGCAACCCTTATTTTCTCTTGATATATCAAGTATACCTGTATACCCCTTTTATTTTTCTGTTGAGTGTTGAACAAAACGGTGCTTATTAAATGTGAATAATAATTTACTTGGTCACCACCATGTAGACCAGACTTTATAGGTTGTGTTTTGCCGTTCTTCAGATGAGAAGTGAATCGAGCTTCTTTTGAGAATTGGCTTCCTACTACTGCTGCACTGTATGAATACTATTAAATCGCCTGGGCAAGGACTAGGGGTGTAACTGGGGCTGGTTCGATCGGATTGAAAGGTTTGTTCAAGCTCAACTCAAGTTGTGTTGAGATCTGCCCAAAACCGAATTGTAACCAGAGATTGCTTGTCCAAGGCCGACCCGAGTTAAACTCGAGTTGTCCGAATTGTAAATATTATATATGTATATATATATATATATATATTTTTAGGCAGCTACATTATTAAATTATTAAAATTTGACTCTATTTACATTTTTTTAATAGAAAATCATTAATACCATCAAAACAAATAATTTATATAATATGAGAGAGATGAAGTTATTGTAGTCTTTACAATTTATGAATGAAAATAAAAATAAAAAAAGATAAGATTTTATGTTATTTGTATATATAATATATATTCAATATGATTTAATAATCTAAATTACTTTAATATTAGGAAAAATTACTCATAAATCTCATTTTAATAAATGTTGCTCTAGTTAGTCTGTTTTTTCTTAAACCATTTAGTCTTTTTTATTTTTGCTATGATATATATTTTTGATATATTATATATAGGGTTTACATTTTTACCTATATTGATTTCATCAACATCATCAACATCCGAATGTTGCCGAAGCTACTACAGCACAAGGCACCAACTTTTCAAGAAATCCCACTACAATCCTTATCTCTCTCTTTCTCAAGAGGTTTTGAACTTGAACTTTGACTAAGAAACTCATTGCTGATGGATCCGGATTGGGATTCAGAATCTGGTTCAGTATCCAACGCTAGAGATGTGTTCCCACTAGAAGCATTGGCTTTTGACCTAGATGATCTTGATGAGCCGCCCACCGATTTCTTTGATTTCTTTCGATGTGATTTTTTTGGGAGGTCAGATGCATTTTGCGAGGATGAATCTGATGCAACACCTACATACATCCTTTTGTTGTCGACTCAATTTAGAACCATTGGACGAATGTTTTCTCGACTGTCTTGGTTGATGATGTTGCTGATGTTTGAAGATGTTTGATGATGTAGATGATGTTCACAATGTTAATGATGTTGATGATGTTTGTTGATGTTGTTGATGTAGTTAATGTTTCACAATGTTGATAATGTTGATGATGTTTGTTGATGTAGTTAATGTTTGTTGATGTAGTTGATGTTTGATGATGGTTGTTGATGTAGATGATGTTCACAATGTTGTTGATGTTGTTGATGTAGTTAATGTTTCTGATGTTCGGAAAGAAGGGAAATCTAAAAAAGGTCTATAGTAAGCTTTTTGGGTATGTTTTTCATTACAACATCAGTAAAAACTTAGGTTGCGTTTGGTTGTGTTTTGTAAATGTGATTTGAGAGTATGAATTGTATTTTGAATTTGTGTGTTGTAAAATTATGATTTGAGTGTAGAAAATTTGTTTGGTAAAGAGTTTTGAAAATAGTTTTGGAAAAGATGTTTGATTTGAGTGGGGAATTGTTGATGTGATATTTGATATGTGATACAAAAATTTACAACTCATAACTAAATATACAACTCAAAATTATTTTAAAGCACATTAAAAATTAAAAAAAATTCAAAATTTTTTTTTTCCAATTTATAAAAAAAATTGAAAAAAAAAAAAAAAAAAAAAAAAAATCCTGTACAGCAGAGGACATCCAGGTGGATGTCCCCATGGACGTCCGGGCGGTAGTCCCTAAGGACGTCCGCGTGGTCTTCCCCTGGCCAAAATTTGAACAAAAAATACGGCTGTAATACAGAGCTCTCTGCAGAAGTTTGGAAAGTTGATTCCAAACACACAACCAAACATCATACTGAAATACACATGTGGAATTACATTTTGAATTCACAACCAAACAGAGCCATAGATGTTTGGGTTAACTTTTTGACTTTTTATGGAAAAATATGTATTAAAAAATTGTAAAAATTGGTTTGTATGGGAAAATTAGGATTGGGAGTTGTGCAGCCGTAATTGTTGACTTTTGGTGAATAGTATTAACTTTTTAACTTTTTGAGTAACTTTTTGACTTTTTAACTTTTTTTTATCTTCCCAAACTTGGCCTCTATATTTGGTTAGATGATTTGAAAAGGAATTTGGAAACAGAAAAAGGGAAAGGAAAAGGAAAAGGCAAAGAAAGAGGTAAGTGAAATATAAATAAAATATACTTATGTTTTTACCTAGTTTCAAACACCATTTCCCATTTTCTTTCCAAATCTTTTCCTAAGTTTAGTAAAATCTGATTGTCAAGCTGTCAAATAACTAAATTATAGTGTTTGTTCCACCCTCAGATTTCATGTAAGGTGATGGCTTCTCTCCAATTCATTCCAATTCTGTTAAAAAAGCTGTGGGGCACACAACAATAGACTCCACTATGGGCTCTATCTCATATAATTTAGATATGACATCTAAATTATGTTTGAATGGAAATAATTAAAAAGGAGCGTGAATCTAATTATCGATAATTTTATTATTTATATTATTATTAAGTGAAAGTTTAAATTAGTCTAATAAAATATTCTTCTATTCATGTCACGTGACAATTTTATAAATGCTAAAATAAAATAAAAAAATTATTACACACAACGTAAGATCTTTGGTTTCATTAAGAACATATTTATCACTTAAATAACATACATATTATGATATTAAATTTTTTATTATTTATTTTTATTATTAGTTATCTGAATTGTACGCGAATCGCCTGTACCACCCATTAGTTAATAATAAAAGCAACTCTGACAGTGTGCTATTCATCGTAGTATTACTAAAATTTGGCAGAGTAATGATTGCGATCCCATCCCCACAACAAGACCTCTACAAATTTCGACCATTCATGATGTGGACCTCACATATACATGAATGAGTCTTACACATATATGAAAGGCTAGAATTATTTTGAAGGTGTGGGGGTTATCTCCAAAGAGGCCCCTAACATTTTCCAATTTGGCATCACGCTAGTAGTGTGCTATCTATAGTCCTAAATTTAACCCAACTTTGAGTGAAATTTTTGTATTTAAGTCTATTTGGATTAGATCATTTTAAATTTTTTTTTAAAAATTAAAAAATTCACTACACTGAAAACAAGTTTATCAAAAAAATCTTTATAAAATTTAGTTTATTTTGTCTTTTCTTAATTAAAAAAAATATAATTTTTTTAATAAAAAATTTCAAAATCATCTAGAATTTAAGAATTAAAAAAAATTAACATAATTTTATTTAAAAATTTGCTAAATCAAAAATTAATTAAACAGTGATAAAAGAAGGGCCATTTACATACAAGTCTCATTTTGTGAACTTATGATCCATTAAGTCTAGATAAAATTATTTGTTCTTTCAGGTTCCATTAATTTTTAATAAACTAATTTACCCTTCCAACAAACTTCAGGCAAACTGTCTCTGATCCCCATGGCTTTGCTCGAGATCCTGATGTCGGGATGAACCTGCTTCAACACCTTGAAGATGTAGATCTTGTAGGTCTCGATGCTCTTCTTCGTCCTCTTCTTCTTCTTGTCTCCGGCAACTGCTCCGCCCTTCCTGGGCAACTTCTTATCCGCCTTAGACTTCTTCTCCATCGGAGCCTTTTGCATATGTCGCTAATAGGCAAAATCCATCTTCAACCTCTAGGTCTGATAGAGGTAGTTATCGTGGTGGCTCTTACAGAGGTTACAACAGAGGTCAGTTTTTTAAGGGAAACCGAAGCCGAAGTAGTGGTAGAAACAGGTTCTTCACACCAAATTCTAATTCCACCTCTACTTCTAATTCTTCTACGTCTATTTTTCCTTTGCCAGATTTGTGGCAAAACTAATTACACAGCTCTTGACTGTTGGTACAGAATGGATCACAGTTTCCAATCCTCTTAATCTGCTACAAGAAGTAGTTCTCCAAAGGCTTATGTTGCCTCTTCTTCATCTGACACTATCAATGCAAATTGGTACCTTGATTCTGGGGCTACTACTATCTCACTAATAATCTCAACAATCTTTCCATCACAGATGCCACACCACTGCCATTAGAGAGAAAGAAAGAGAGAGAGATCTAGGGTTTTTTGAAATTGAGAACTTTCTCAGTTTATAATATTCTCAATTGTAATCATGAAAAAAATTGAGAAATTTTTCAAAATTGATAATTATAAATTTCTTAGTTTTAATAATATTCTTAGTTCATACTAGAAAAAAATTTGAAAAATTTCTTAGTTTTGATAATTATAAATTGAGAACATTCTCAGTTTTGAAATTGAGAACATTCTCTGTTTGGGAATTAAAGGGCAAAACGTCTTTTTACCTCTAAATGGGACTTATTAGTTCAAAAACTTTTTAATAGGACCTAAGCTACTACCAAATATGTAGATAAGACTTTTAGGTAATTAATCCATAAAAGAATCTCATTTTTAAAGGGCACACGCATGCATTATGTGAGATCCAAGTCTTATCTTATAATGTAATTTTTTTGTGTGCTTAAAAAATTCTCATATATAATACAATTATGGATAAATTACATTCACTTTCTTGAGATTTGGAAAAAAAAACACAGTTAGCCTTATAAATTTGGTACAATTACATTAATTTCTATTTTAGTAAAGTTAAAATGGTCAAAATTAAGAGGGGACTTACGTGTAGATCTTAATAGATGAATTTACTATCCAATAGATCATACGATAATTAATGATGTTTTTATTAGACACTACTAAAAAATATCACTAATTGTTAATTTTTAGCGACATTTTAAAAATTTTATTACAAAAAAGTCACTAATTACAAGTTTTAATGACAGTTTAAAAATGTCACTAATCACAACAATTGGTATTAATTATTAATAAATTCATATTTAATATTTTTATATTAATTAAAAAATAAAAAATTATATATTTCTGAAGAAAAAGAAAAAAATCAATATTAATTAAAAAATCAATATTAATTAGTATTAATTATTAATAAATTAATATTGTATACTTTTGTAATGAATTAATTATTAATTGATACTAATTAATAACAATTGTTGATTATTAATATTATTTGATACTAATAAAAATTAATTATTAATATTAATTTATACTAATTAATAATTTTAGTATTAATTGAGACTAATTAAGCCATTAATTGATATTAATTGATAATTTTAGTATTAATTGATACTAATTAATTTATAATAAAAAAAATTATAACAATAATACTTCTATTACATTTTTATCAAATGTATCAATTTTTATATTAATTGATACTAATTAATACTAATTATATTAACTTTTATTAATAAAATAATTTTTTTAAAATTAAAACTAAAAAAATGACAAAATAATCATTTTTATATCATACAACTTAAAAAGAAAAATTATATAATATTTTACAACTTATTAACCAAATACTACTTTACTACTTAAATTTATAATCTTACACTTATATTCACAACCGCAAACCATAATATTTTAAAGTTATAAGCTATAATTCTTCACCGTCTTCCACCTTGTCTGCTGGGATTAACAAATCTACGTCTACTTTTCATCTACGATTCACACCAGGAAATTGAGACTCAGATCTTCTGAAACCAAAGAAACCCAAAAAATCGAAGTACCCACCACATGCTCGATTCAACACCTCAAAGAAGTTGTCGCTCAGAGACTCCCTTCTTCATCTTCTTCTGCGACAGCTTCTGTACACCTCTCTCTCAATCGCAAGGATGAGCTTCTCGGTTCTTCGCCTCAGGACTCTCTCCAAGCTCTAGGTATTACCTCAGGTGATCTCATCTTCCTCACTCTCGATCCTAATTGTTTTTCCTCCGAAACCCTAATTGTCCAATCTAATAGTTCACAATCTCAGAATTGTCAAAAAGCCCCAACCCTAGAACCCAGTTCTCAGAAAGAACGAAATTTGGATACCCAGAAGGCAGAAACCCTAGATTCTGAATCTGTGAAGACTGAAACTCGAGAATTAGATACCCACAGAAGAAAAAACGCTAGGTTTAGATTCCCAGATGGATGATGGTGGTGATGAGTCTATGGTACATGTGGGGAAGTCGTTTTCTGTGCCTGGTTTTCTGAGGAAAGTGTTCCGGAAGGAGGTGGGTGAAGGGGATGGTGGTGATCACAAGCTGTTAGTTATTGCTGTCCATGCTGTTCTGATAGAGTCTGGCTTTGTTGGGTTTGACTCCGTTTCGAGGAGGAAGCTTGAAGGGTTTCATCTTCCAGATGAATGGCCTTCATTGCAATTCACTATGTCTCTGCAGTACACTCTTCCTGAGATCATTAAGCAAGGTCCTATTACAATTAATGGGGTTGAAACAGTGAAATTGAAGTTTCAGAGTTTGGGAAAGTTTGTTAATGTGTATGGATCTTTAGCTAAGAATGGTTCCGGGCCGTATGGGGTGCGCTTGGATGAGGACCATTTTGTTTTCTTCTTGAACCTTATATGGGCGAATTGTGATTCGATTGATGAGATGAATGGAAAAGACGGCTTCTCTAATTTACAAGCTGCGAGGGAAGTTTTTGAATTTTGGAAGACTGTAAAGGATAAGCTTGCATTGCCCCTCTTAATAGATTTATGTGAGAGGGCTGGTTTGGCTCCTCCACCATGCTTTATGCGCCTCCCAACCGACCTGAAACTTAAGATTTTGGAGTCTCTTTGTGGTGTTGATGTTGCTAAAGTGGGATCTGTTTGTTCTGAGTTGCGTTATTTGTCATCTAATGATGATTTATGGAGGCGTAAGTTTGTGGAGCAGTTTGGCAACGTGGAGGGATCTCAGGGAGGGAGCCACTGGAAAGAGAAGTTTGCGAAGTCTTGGGAGACTAGAAAGAGGAGGAAGAAAGCTATGTGGGAGAGGCCCCGTGTGAGAGGAGAGCCTTGGCCATTTCGAGTTGGGATACCAAGAATCATCAGAGACCCTCATCCTCTCAGGGTTCCAAGAATCATAGGTGGAGATCATGACATAGGGCCAGATTTCCCATTTGGGCAGTCTCTTCGAACAAATGCTCGTCGGAATGTCATGCCTCACTGTAGTCTGTTTGGACATCGCACCTAGTCAGCAACTTTAGTTTCTCGTTGGCTATCCTTGTCTTGTTGGAGGTAGTTTTTATGGGTTTAATAAGCTTATGCATTTATCTGTGAGTGCTTTGGTAGATCTCCTAGAAGTTTGTAAATAAAAGTATTTATCAGTGACTTGGAAATGTTTATATGAATACTGTTTTTCGTGCCTCTTTGACAGGTTTAAGTTTTGGATTTGTTGTGTTGCTATATCGTCTACGCAATAATTTGATTGAAAATGGATATGGTGTGATGATCTGATACATAATTCTTTTGTAATTGTAGTACACTAGTGGGTGACACACGCGATGTGTGTGCAATTTAAATAAGTAAGAATAAAAACAAATAATAAAGAAATCAGTATCATAATATGAATGTTATCAAAGTAGTAAGTGTTTTTAATGAAACTCAAGATTTTGGGTTCAAACCTTCTCCTCCTCTGTCTAAAACTTTTTTATTTTAGGCTAGAAAAAACTGTCACATGGCATGACATGTGGGCTTGGACACCAAGTTTAGTCTTCACTTAATAATAGTATAGATATAGATAGATGGTTTTATGGATTCATTAATGGTTTGAACAATTTCATTACATTAATAGGTAGTTGACAGTGGGGATTGCCTATGAACAGTTACTAATATATAGTATTTGAATGTTGATTGACTTTGGAATTCTGTGGGGGGCTGCTTTCAAGTTTACGACCAATAAGTTTCACTGGAGATACATGGTTCTGCAAGACAGAGCTGACCTCACAATTTGGTAGTCACTGGCATTTCTGAGAGTCCTCCATTTGTGTTGGAAATATGGTGATTTGTTTCGAGACAACTGCCTTAATATTACATAAAAACAAATATGGTTTTAAATACTGTGATACATTTGTAAGGCTATGTAATTGTGTTGTATGTCAAGTTTCAGAATTATGATCTATGTTTCAGACCTTTTTAGTTTCATACAATTATCAAACCACTTTGAAACTGACTTTGCGAAGCTGGCCCCAGGGAAAAGTCATTGGTGTGGCCTCTTTCATTACCTGAGGTATCAACTACTGGTTAAACCATTTCCTGAAGAAGGATAACATGAATTGAACTAGGTTCAAATGCATCCCCCTGACATCTTTTGAGGAGATTCAGTGTTGTTATATTTATATATGCTATAAATTCTGTGTGGACAAAATACTTATTCTCTTTAAAAATTTCTCTTAATGTGATAGCTACCTAGGATGACATATCATGGAGTGATCACGATGCATCTGTGCAAATTTGAAACTTGTTGCAACTCTTAAGATGTTTATAACAATCTTTTTGTTTCACCCGTTTAATATTATTATTATTTTGAATGCTTTTCAGTATACAGGTAAAAGAGGTCAGGTTGAGCTCCTTGTTTTAAAAAAGCTTGCTAGAAATATCCTATGCTAAGAGATTGGGGTCGGTATATGTGAATGCCCTGATTCTGGTATGGTAGTGTGGTTAAAAATTTATGAAGTTTGAAACAGGATCATTTCTAATATGTGTTTTGATTATTGATCAATTGCTTACCTTTTCTTTTCCTTCCAATGAGTAGAAATACCTTCGTTTGGATAGATGTGGATTTGAAGTCAAAGGGATTTGAGGTTGGATTTTATATAATATTAGAGAGCTACTTATTATAGGTGGATAGAAAAACTAAAAAGATGCAATTTAATAATTATTTTTGCTTAAGTATTTTAAATATATCATAATAAAGCTCTTTAATTTAGACTTCAAATAGTTAGGTAAACTATTAGATCTAAATTTGAGTTATTCTTCTTACATTCTTCTTTGATGAATAATGCCAAATCTATGTATTTCAAATTCGTAAATACAAAAATGTCTTAAGCTCAACCTTATACCATAGGGACTGCATGTCATTGGTGATCAATCGTTTGTTTATTTGATCGTCTTCTTATACTTCTCCTAGAAAACATTTCTGAATATTTTATTTTATTTTCTTGGATGGAAAAATATTTTTGTGGCTTCAAGATATCATACAAGATGCTGTTACAATATTTTTGATTTCCAACTTGCTACATTCAATTTTCTTGAGCACTATTTTTAGATCATAGACTTTTCAAGGGAAATAAAATGAAAGAAAAATACTATTATTTATACATGTTCATTTTTTTATGGGTAACTAACAAAAAATAGTTTTTTTTTTTTTTTTTTTTTTTTTTTTTTTTTTTTTTTTAAATCCAACCAAACAAATGAATTTTTTGTTTTTTTACTTTACTTTCTTCCTTTATTCACTTTCATTCTTGCTCTAAAACGTGATCAGAAGATTCTCCCAAAATCTTTAAAAAAATGTTTAATTATATGAACATTTCCTCAATGATAAACCCAAAAAATTAAAATAATTATTTTTTTTATATTAAACGTGATCAGAAGATTCTCCCAAAATCTTTAAAAAAATGTTTAATTATATGAACATTTCTTCCATGATAAATCCAAAAAATTAAAATAATTATTTTTTTATATTAAAAAGTAAAGGAAAAAAAACTGATTGCCCATTGTAAAAAAATTTAAGACACAAAATTAATCACATAACCAGAGAAGGTATATATATGTAAAATGATTTAAAATTATATTCGAATCATAATTTTTTTTAATTTAAATTCATAATCTAAATATAACCTAAATGAATCAATGTTTTTAACGACGAATCCTACCTCAAATGTATAAATATAATCGTCTTTTATAATTAATTTTGTGTCCAACTATTGGTTTTTAAGACATATTTTGAGAAGATGGTAAAAAGTAATTTTTTTGTCTTTTAACCAAATTTTTGGCTTTTTAAGACAAATAATTTGAAAAGTTGATAAAAAGTTAATTTTAAATTTTTTTATTAATATTTGTTTATGATGTCAAATCATAATAAAATGACTAAACTATTCATATTTAGTTTAAAATATTTACAACTTCATCAATATAACATTATTCACTTTCATTCTTGCTCTAAAACGTGATCAGAAGATTCTCCCAAAATCTTTAAAAAAATGTTTAATTATATGAACATTTCCTCAATGATAAACCCAAAAAATTAAAATAATTATTTTTTTATATTAAAAAGTAAAGGAAAAAAAACTGATTGCCCATTGTAAAAAAATTTAAGACACAAAATTAATCACATAACCAGAGAAGGTATATATATGTAAAATGATTTAAAATTATATTTGAATCATAAATTTTTTTAATTTAAATTCATAATCTAAATACAACCTAAATGAATCAATGTTTTTAACGACGAATCCTACCTCAAATGTATAAATATAATCGTCTTTTATAATTAATTTTGTGTCCAACTATTGGTTTTTAAGGCATATTTTGAGAAGATGGTAAAAAGTAATTTTTTTGCCTTTTAACCAAGTTTTTGGCTTTTAAAGACAAATAATTTGAAAAGTTATTAAAAGTTAATTTTAAATTTTTTTATTAATATTTGTTTATGATGTCAAATCATAATAAAATGACTAAACTATCCATATTTAGTTTAAAATATTTACAACTTCATCCATATAACACACTTTTAAGAAATTTTTCAAATAATTTTTTTAAAAAAAAAATCAACTTTTAACTTTTACTACAAATTAATTTCGCAAAAGAAGCCCAAGTCGAGCCTTATTAAAGCGGAAGAAAAAAGTTACGAAGTGCCGACTAGTAACAGCATCTTCGACGCTTTTTTAGATTTTTTTATTATTAAATTTAAATTTGACGGGATATGTTTTTTTTATTATTATATTAAATTCATATCAAATAAAGTTAAAATTAAAATTTTCATCAAATTAAAAGAATATTTAAATTATTCATCAAAATTTTCAAGGTCCGTTTGGTTTGTATTTCTGAAAAATTTTTAAAAAATTTTCTTTATAAATAAGTTTTTAAAATTAATCAAACCAAACAAATTTTTTCAAAAAAATTTCTCAAAACTTGTAAACTATTTTTAATAAATAAATTTTTAAAAGTAATCAAACCAAATAAATTTTTTCAAATTTTTTTTTCAAAACTTATAAATCAAATAAGTTTTCCAAACAAATCTCTCTCACACACATCAAATCAATCATTTTTTTCAAAATTCTCTCTCAAAATAATTTTCCAAAACATCTTTTAAAATAAATAAAATCAAACAACTTTTCGTACCTTTTTATCTCTAAAACACATCTCTCAGACACAAACCGAACATATATTCAGTGATCGTCGACGATGACCGGGTGAACGATCTCTTGATCAACCAAGTGAATAATTGAAAAAACAATCGAATAGATGACCGGCTTGAAAATTTTTTACTAAAAATTTGTTTTAGGTCGAATGACCACTAAAATTTTCACTAAAATTTTTGGTGATGAAAAACTTGAATACAGGTGGGAGATGTTCTAATTAACTACTCTCGATTCACGTCTCCCTCCCTCTGCCTAAAATCGCCTGTAAAACCGTGAGTCGCCGCCGGCAATTTCTCTCTCTCTCTCTGTAGCTCTCTAATTTAACAACAACAACAATAATGGCGTCGTCGGTCACTCTCTTTCCTCGCTCTCTCTTTTACTCTTCCTCTTCCTTGCCAGAATCAATCTCTCTCTCTACCAGGCCGCATCGTAACATCCTCCTCCTCCAATTCCACCTTCATCGAACCTATCCCCGAATCCAAGCTTCCAGACGAATCTCCAATTTCCCTCAGGTTCTATTTATTCTCTCTATCTCTCTCTCTACATATATAGTTTAATTATATGTTGTGTTAAAATTGGTGTTGTATTCAGGAAGGTAGTGGCTTGGTAGATGATCCACGCAACTGGAATCGCAAACAAGGACTCGCCATGGAAGACTATCACGATGATCATGAAGATGAAGATGATGATGATGAGGAAGACGAGGATCGGAGTTTGGATCTTCTGGTCAGGTTTGTTCAGAATGTGTTTAAGAAAATCTCGAGGAAAGCGAGGAAGGCCGTTCGATCTGTTCTGCCTATCACCATATCCACCAAATTGGTATATGTCTCAACTCATGGCTATGAACTTTTTTCAGTCTAGGTTATGGATGATTGAAAATTGTTTTAATTTCTTTCGATGATAATCAGAAATATTGTGTTCTCGTTCCGTGGTTAGTTGATATATGAATTGGGTAATTAGGGGTAAGAATTATTACTAATAATATTACTCTTTTTTTTGGATTGGCACAAAGCCCGACTAATCCTAGGTGCACAGGCTCTCGCCAAGGAGTTTTCTACAAGTGTACCACACCACAGTTAATTCAAGGGTTTTCCCCAGTCCAATGGCCCAGGAATTGTTAGCACCAGCACTTGAGTGATCTTTTGACACAATTCAAAATACCAATATGTTATACAATTCGGGAAGGCTCTTGAAATGATGTAGTATAGCAACTTGTCCTTGGGGCCTACAATAGTTGCTATAACAATGGATTTGTGGTTCTGTTAACCACTTCAGCACTGCCACCATGTTCACTCTGTGAATACCTTGAATCAACATTGATTTTGAAGTCATTTACCAAAAAACAATTATTGATTTTGAAGTGAACCTCGAGCATAGGCTTCTACCGTACTGGAGAACCAGTTTGCTTGCTTGGGCTTCACTTGATTTTGGAAGTTCATTGGGAGTTCTTTATCTCCGATAAATAATTAAAAAAATTGAAGAATAATCAGAATTAGTTTGGTTTTCTTTTCTGTCTGCTTATGATTTTTTTAATTTAAAAATTACTATTTTGGTACTCTATATGGCACACAATACGCATGGACTATAGACATATTTATTTCAGTCTTCTGATCGTGAAGGGTTCATGGCAAGCAAAAATTGCATCATGCTGGAAAGTTTAGAATGATTTCTGCTCTTCATTTCATTTCTTTTTTTGATAATTCAGGCATCATAATAAATTCAACTTTGGTATTGAACATTCCATTATGAGCAACATTTTCAGATACATTAGAAATGATTATTCAAAATTTTCTTTTCTTTGTTTTGAAAGATTGACACCTTAAAATTTCTACTGTGACATGGAATTCTGTTCCCGGATGCTTTATGCCATACTAGATGCTTTCTACTAGATATAAGCCTCTGGTAGTCATTGACTAATGGTCTATTTTTTGTTTAATGTAGTTGGGGTTTTCTGTCAATGGATTGATAATGCTGACATTTTTGTGGGTTTTGAAGGCATTCCTTGAGGTAAATATAAATATTTGCGTAAATATAAATATTTTCATAAATATATAGTTGTCTATATTTAGTGCATGACCAGTTATGATTATCACTTTATACCATTTTTGATGTCATGTCTCAGTGGATGGCAAATTTGTTGCATTCTAGTTTGATTTTTGCCTCAGTTACAGGATTGGTTGAACCCTTGTGTACACGTACTTAGTTTCTGTCGGACATGTATTTGATAGAAATTATACGTCTCAAGTGCATATGGCATACTGTACTAAACTTGAATAGTTTTGAATCTTTTCATGATCTGTTGCCCCTTCCGTGTTTTGGGTGATTAAATTGGTTTGGAGCTGAAAACTTGCCCCTAGCATACCAATAATCCACTTCTACATTTGGCTTTATTAATTTTCAATACCCATCTTGTCCATCTTAAAAAGGATGGGATGTATTATTTTCAAAATCAATACAAAAAAGAAAAAAGGAAAGCCATATGAGTTTAGTTTCTGCGACTAAGCTTGATTTCTATTGTTGACTGGATCTGGAGCACATACTTAGCATCTAGGTATGATATGATTTGAATATTGATTATTGAGATATTTGATTTTGGGATTGTGAATTCCCACTTTCAATTATGTTCTTCTTGGTGCTACATCAAAGGGTGCTTGTTTATACTAAATGACTATGTCTGATCATGCATATAGTTCCTTCATCCATGTAATTTAATTGTTATATTAGTTCTAGTGTAATGTAGGAAATACTCAGTCTTTATTAACTATAGTACACATGTATGCATACATGGTAGGTAATGTTAGTAGAAAACCATGGTGTTTTAGTCTTTACTGGCAAAATTTATTTAATTGCACTAATCTTCTCAGGGTGGTTGTTCTGCCATTTAAAGTTAAGAAATGACACAAATCGACATTCTTCTCATATATATTTGGCCTATGACCTGATTCAGAAAATATGTGCATTCAAGCTAGACTCTTGTTTTGAAGTGGCACAGAGCTCAATAGACTCCCATTTTCTAATCCTTGAATGAACTAATCAGAAAATGCTAATAGTACTGCATTGCACTTGATAAAGATGCTTAATGGTTAATATTTAAACCTTGAATAAACTAATCAGTAATGATTAATGTTTTAGCCTGAGGTTACCAGGACTGGCCGAGCTAGTAGTCAAAATGTGATTGGAGATGCAGCTATTCTTTTTATCTTCTTGTGCAAGCTCTAGAAACGCGCAAATGGTCCAGATTTTCATGAGATGGATGATGCTTTTTGATTTGTGGAAGCTAATGAAAATATGTCTTTGTTTAGAACAAAAATGAAGATGAAAGTTCTATGAGATAGTTTCTGCATGCATTGTTTCATTATGTGAGTAATCACACTCATTTTTCTTTATATGTTTTTATCAAGCATAGGTGGTTTGCACCCTCGGGAGTGTAGTGTTTGTGAGCATCTTGCTTATCCGTGGCATATGGTCTGGTGTGTCCTATTTACAAGACAGCCGCAAATATAGGGTGAGTGAATTTGATGATGAGCGCCGGGCATGGAATGGTGCACAGCCCGCATCTTGATTTGTTCACTCTGATGATTCCAAACAAGAACAATCTTATGTTTGAAAAGGGTAACAGGGGAGTATGCATCAGGTTTGGTTCTCATCTTATGAGAATGATTTCTCCTGTTTGAAGATTCAACACAAGCCATATGAGTACTCTGATATCTGTGGCATACATAATCAAAACCATGACGAATGCTAATTATTCACTGGGGCAAAGCTACTATTCTCTTCTCTTTTACTCTTTTTCCTTCAGTGCACCAAAGATCGTTATCTAACATGGTACACATTGCTCGACTTGCACTCAACAGACAAAGAGCAGGGTCTCATCAGTAAGCAACCCTTATTTTCTCTTGATATATCGAGTATACCTGTATACCACTTCTACTTTTCTATTGAGTGTCGAACAAAACAGTGCTTATTAAATGTGAGTCATAATTTACTTGGTCACCATGTAGACCAGACTTTATAGGTTGTGTTTTACCTTTCTTCAGATGAGAAGTGAATTGAGCTTGTTTTGAGAATTGGCTTCCTAGTACTGCTGCACTGTATGAACTTTATTATTATTTTTGTAGCTGTTAAATCGCCTGTGCAAGGACTAGGGGTGTAACTCGGGCTGGTTCGGTCTGATTGAGAGATTTGTCAAAGCCCAATTCAAGTTGTGTTGAGATTTGTCCAGGCCTGCCCAGGCCCGAACTGTAACCCGAGATTGCTTGCCCGACTCGAGTTAAACCCGAGTTGCCCGAATTGTAAATAAATTACTCTTTTTTTTTTTTGCAGCTACATTATTAAATTATAAAAATTTGACTATATTTACATTTTTTTAATAGAAAATCATTAATACCATCAAAACAAATATAATGTTAGAGAGATGAAGCTTTAGCAGTTTTTACAATTTATGAGTGAAAATTAAAAAAAAAGTAAGATTTTATGTTATTTGTATATATAATATATATTCAATATAATTTAATAATTTAAATTACTTTAATATCATGTAATGGTTAATAATTTATATATATTTAATAATTTTATATATCTATATATGTATAATTCGGGTTTCGGGTTGTTCCGTTTGTTTGACGTTTTTGTCCAAACTCATTCAAATTTAATTTGAGTTTTTAAATTTTTGCTCAAGCCCGTATCGAATTTGAAAATATCTTGTTTAAGTCTTAAAAAAATTCAGTTGGAATTCGGATTGTTCGAGTTGAGCCTGCTCAAGTTGCACCCCTAGCAAGGACGATGACGGAAACTGGGGATGTTTTTGTTATGGCCAGGAGCTTTTCTTTGGATTGGCATATATAGAGGGAAAGGGCCTTAACTGCACCATATCAGTATACGGTATAATAAAATCTTATTGTCAAGCTGTCAAATTACTAAATTATAGTGTTTGTTCCACCCTCAGATTTCATGTAAGGTGATGGCTTCTCTCCAATACATTCCAATTCTGTTAAAAAAACTGTGGGCCACACAACAACAGACTCTACTTGTTGACTTATTTTTTCTAGGAATGAAAATATCATAAATGCGAGTATGTCAGCAACGATTGAAAATCTTTACAAATTAAATTCAAGTCAATTATTAAGTAATTGCGTTGACGGTTCTTTTACCTCAATAAAGAGGACTTCAAAATTGACAAGTGTAGAGAAAAGAAAAATTAAAAAAAAAAATGAGGGAGACGGAGAAAGACGATTGAGTGAACAATCAAAGTAATCATTACTTACTTCTACTCCTATACTTTGAAAATGAAGTGCATAAAATGCTTTGAAAAGGAAATGCTGAACATAAATGTTTCGAAATACAAATCTATGTTAAACTATTCTTAAGATAAGGAAAATGGCAAGAAATATTGAAATCAATTGTCTTTGATTTTGAATTCTGGATCTTTACAATGTAGCAATGAATGGCTATTTATAAGTAAACATTTGTAGGAAAAAACTACCTAAAACTATCCACTCTTCCACCTCCTCCATTTTATACAACATGATCTTCCATAACTTCCTTCAACATCCACTTCATACTCCATGTTCTCTACTTTATTTTCCATCATCTTTTCACATTTCATAACTTTTCATAACCTCCAAATAAGTAAGAGGATCTCACATGTCCTGCAATTATATAAATAATAAATAATAATAATAAATGCAGATTTATGGTGCCAACATTATCTAAACAAATAGAAAACACAAAGTCTTACAAATTACTAGGGGTGTTTGCAGTTTGGCGGTTCGATTGCTGCCAAAGAAACCTCAAATTCGTCATCCATCCAAAATTAGGTGGATTGAAAAAAATCAATCCGTAACCGTTTGCTTGTCATCATGCATCCGTCCAAAGTGCAGCGGATCGGTTTGGTTCGGTTAGTGGCCAGATCAAAATATCTGCTGCTCACCCCTACTTGTAAGTCAAGTTGAAGGACTTTTTTAAGAATTTCATAGATTTTTAGTAATTAAAATGTGTTAAGTGAGTGTAAAATAAAAAAGAAAAAAAGAAAAAATTGTCAATCTCCATCCCTATTTGTTCTCTTTCTTCTTCTACCACACCGCATCGATCCCTCTCTCCCACGTTTGCTTTACAATTTGCTATAAGTATTGAAACAAACTACTAACTCAATCGCGGTCAACTAATTAGATACCACTCAAGGAAAATTTACTCATAAGTCATAGTTTCTGAAAAGTTGAACCATTTAGTCCTAAAAGTTTTCTTATGCTCCATTTAGTCCCATTTGCACATCAATCTAATGTTTGAAACATTAATCTGATGTTTGAAATCTAATGTTCGAAACATTAATCTGATGTTCGAAATCTAATGTTCGAAACATTAATCTGATGTTTGAAACATTGTAATGGGACCTTTCAGTCTATAAGAAAACTTTTAGGACTAAACAGTGTATAAGTTATTAATTTGGGATTTATTGGTGCATCCCCCCTCTAACAAATTGTTCTTATTTATTTTATTTTATTTTTTAAAATGTCATTTTTTGAAGCAAAAAAAAAAAAAGTTTAAAAATTAAGTGTTTGATTTGGCTAATTTAGACAACAATTTTTTTGTTTTTTTTTAACAAAACTAACCATGTTTGATAAGTGCTAAAAAAGTTGCATTTTTCCCATATATATTTTTCCTTTGATAAATTTTAAATTTTTTATTTTTATATTATTATTATTATTGTTATTGTTGTTATTACTAATTTTGAGGATCTTTTATAGAAGAACTTAAAAAGTAAATCAGAAAATGTCACTAAAGTTTAAAGAAATTCAAAATCCCACCTGATTTTTCCCAACATCTTTATATCAAAGATAAATATATAAATAAAATGAACTCATAGATGAAGACCTTTGATTTGTCATTTGGACTAATTGCACTTTAAGAGTTCGTTTGGGAATTAATTATTTTAGTTAATTTTTTAATTTTTAATTTAAAAAAAAATTAAAAATAATATGATGACTTGTGATAATTTTTTAAACTTTAAATTTTTTTAATCTATTAACAAACAAGGCCTAAACGATCTTTTCCCAAAGGAGAAATTTACAATGTGCACCCTTTTAAATGGTGCATATTATAAAAAAGTTATGATTTTTTATGATAAATGTTATGATTGTTTGTGATGTGTGTTATGACATTTTGTAATAAAGTTATGCATAGTGAATTTATGATGTGCACCCTAAAGTTAAGAATGATAATGTTGTGACATTTTGTAATTTTTGTTATGACAGTTTTCACTGAAAAAAAAATTATAACTTTTATAGTGAAAAAGTTATAACATTTTGGGTTTAAATTATGAAATTTTGTGAAAAAAGTTACGGTAAAGCACCATTAAATCTCAAATTTGAAAATGTTAAACCATTTAGTCCTATATATACATATATATATATATATATATTTTAAAGACTGATAGGTCCTATTTCAATGTTAAAGACTTTATAGCCCAAGATTTATGCGTGTAGGTTTGAAATAATGAGGGTAAATATGGGTTTGTGTTGATATTAAAATTACTAAATGTCCAACAACGAAAAGTAGTGCTTTGTTGTTGTCCCTTCTGCGTGATCGGAACTATGACGGTAAAGATGGAAGGTTTTGGATTTTGGTTCCGATGTTGTAGCGATTCATGACATGATTTCTGGGATTCGTGTTCGATTTGCTAAGGTTGATGTTAATCCCCCAAATTAACATTAGCATACCTCCCAAAGCCCCCTTTATAGTAATACTTTGCGGTGTTCGTGACGTTGGGTGTGATAACCATTTCGTCCATGTATTAGCGGTGAAAACGACATCTACACAATATCAACATTGGAGATCGTTGCGGGAACACATGGGGACCAATGTGTAGTATATGGTTTTCTGATGTATGTATTGGTTTTTTGGGTATAGATTGGTGAAAATGTACGTGGTAGTGTTAATGTGTTGGTGTTTTTTTTTTTTTTGTTTTTTTCATTGGGTTGCTGATGTATGTATTGGTTTGAAGGTTGTATTGCTGTGCATTGCATTCCATTTTGTGATGTCATCCATGGGCAACACATACGCATATGTTGCTAATCGGAGAAACACGTAATGTAACAGGAGTTGAAGATTCTTTGTATGACTATGGGAGTTTTTTTTTTTTTTTGTCTTTGTGATAGTGTTCATAGGTGTAGTTAGCCAAATTGGGTATGTTAGGTGTATGTTGATTGGTGTGTGAGTGTGCACATTCAATGTGATGTTTGTATTCTTTTGTATGTGTGACGTTAATGGGTAGAACACAACATTTCAATTTTGTCGGTATGACCACTGATGTAATTATGTTGTTAATATTGTGAATTGCATTCTCATTTTGTATGTGTGTTTTGAATGTGACCATGGTATGAAAGCAGGGTGCATGGGGAGGAGGCGATAGTGGCAAATTTTGATGTTGCCGGAATTGCGTATGTGTAATTGCAATGTCGTATAGGTCATGTGACGTGTAGGCAACAATCGTTAGATGGGTGACAAAATTATTTGCCTTAGGATTGTAGAATATTAGTGTAGTTAGTTGAGTTGAACGTTTGAAGGTAACGTATCTATGCTGAACAGTTGGTGGGTGTCGTGTTGTTGCAATCTACGATATCCATGCAATGTGATTACAACCGTATAATGTTTGATTTATGAAAATATTTTGTAATAACATTTGCACAATGTAGCTATTAGTAAACGTTGGTAGTAACATTGTACCATATATGGAACACTCATGACCCACTAAACATATGACACCACAAAATGGAATTAGTGTCCATGTATTTAGTGGGTTTTGCAATAACATTTACGCCACGCATGTTCATGTATTTAGTGGGTCTTGTGTGGGTGGGAGTGTTAATGTGTTGGTGTTTTTTTGATTGTCCAATTCACTGTTAATCTGGAGTGTAAACTACGTTCATGTTTGGCTATGTGTGATTACATTCACATCCACGTTGGGAAGTATCCTGAAATGGCAACAACATCAACCCCAAAAATCACTCTACGCAACCTGAATAATAAAAATTAGATACATAACATCATACCTTAATAAACCCACCCAAACATCAGTCACAAAAT